ACTTTAGACATGGCAGTGTATATACTGGAGAAGGAAACAGCAACCCACTCCAGCATTCTTTTTTTTTTTTTTTAATTTTATTTTATTTTTCATTTATTTTTATTAGTTGGAGGCTAATTACTTTACATCATTGCAGTGGTTTTTGTCATACATTGAAATGAATTAGCCATGGATTTACATGTATTCCCCATCCCGGTCCCCCCTCCCACCTCCCTCTCCACCCGATCCCTCTGGGTCTTCCCAGTGCACCAGGCCCGAGCACTTGTCTCATGCACCCAACCTGGGCTGGTGATCTGTTTCACCCTAGATAATATACGTGTTTCAATGCTGTTCTCTTGAAACATCCCACCCTCGCCTTCTCCCAGAGTCCACAAGTCTGTTCTATACATCTGAGTCTCTTTTTCTGTTTTGCATATAGGGTTATCGTTACCATCTTTCTAAATTCCATATATATGTGTTAGTATACTGTAATGGTCTTTATCTTTCTGGCTTACTTCGCTCTGTATAATGGGCTCCAGTTTCATCCATCTCATTAGAACTGATTCAAACGAATTCTTTTTAATGGCTGAGTAATATTCCATGGTGTAAATGTACCACAGCTTCCTCATCCATTCGTCTGCTGATGGGCATCTAGGTTGCTTCCATGTCCTGGCTATTATAAACAGTGCTGTGATGAACATTGGGGTGCACGTGTCTCTTTCAGATCTGGTTTCCTCGGTGTGTATGCCCAGAAGTGGGATTGCTGGGTCATATGGCAGTTCTATTTCCAGCTTTTTAAGAAATCTCCACACTGTTTTCCATAGTGGCTGTACTAGTTTGCATTCCCACCAACAGTGTAAGAGGGTTCCCTTTTCTCCACACCCTCTCCAGCATTTATTGCTTGTAGACTTTTGGATAGCAGCCATCCTGACTGGTGTGTAATGGTACCTCATTGTGGTTTTGATTTGCATTTCTCTGATAATGAGTGATGTTGAGCATCTTTTCATGTGTTTGTTAGCCATCTGTATGTCTTCCTTGGAGAAATGTCTGTTCAGTTCTTTGGCCCATTTTTTGATTGGGTCATTTATTTTTCTGGAGTTGAGCTGGAGGAGGTGCTTGTATATTTTTGAGATTAATCCTTTGTCTGTTGCTTCGTTTGCTATTATTTTCTCCCAATCTGAGGGCTGTCTTTTCACCTTGCTTATAGTTTCCTTTGTTGTGCAAAAGCTTTTAAGTTTCATTAGGTCCCATTTGTTTATTTTTGCTTTTATTTCTAAAATTCTGGGATGTGGGTCATAGAGGATCCTGCTGTGATTTATGCCGGAGAGTGTTTTGCCTATGTTCTCCTCTAGGAGTTTTATAGTTTCTGGTCTTACATTTAGATCTTTAATCCATTTTGAGTTTATGTTTGTGTATGGTGTTAGAAAGTGTTCTAGTTTCATTCTTTTACAGGTGGTTGACCAGTTTTCCCAGCACCACTTGTTAAAGAGGTTGTCTTTTTTCCATTGTATATCCTTGCCTCCTTTGTCAAAGATAAGGTGACCATAGGTTCGTGGATTTATCTCTGGGCTTTCTATTCTGTTCCATTGATCTATATTTCTGTCTTTGTGCCAGTACCATACTGTCTTGATGACTGTGGCTTTGTAGTATAGTCTGAAGTCAGGCAGATTGATTCCTCCAGTTCCATTCTTCTTTCTCAGGATTACTTTGGCTATTCGAGGTTTTTTGTATTTCCATACAAATTGTGAAATTATTCGTTCTAGTTCTGTGAAAAATACCGTTGGTAGTTTGATAGGGATTGCATTGAATCTGTAGATTGCTTTGGGTAGTATAGCCATTTTGACAATATTGATTCTTCCAATCCATGAACATGGTATATTTCTCCATCTGTTTGTGTCCTCTTTGATTTCTTTCATCAGTGTTTTATAGTTTTCTGTGTATAGGTCTTTTGTTTCTTTAGGTAGATATACTCCTAAGTATTTTATTCTTTTTGTTGCAGTGGTGAATGGTATTGTTTCCTTAATTTCTCTTTCTGTTTTCTCATTGTTAGTGTATAGGAATGCAAGAGATTTTTGTGTGTTAATTTTATATCCTGCAACTTTACTGTATTCGTTGATTAGCTCTAGTAATTTTCTGGTAGAGTCTTTAGGGTTTCTATGTAGAGGATCATGTCATCTACAAACAGCGAGAGTTTCACTTCTTCTTTTCCTATCTGGATTCCTTTTATTTCTTTTTCTGCTCTGATTGCTGTGGCCAAAACTTCCAAAACTATGTTGAATAGTAGTGGTGAGAGTGGGCACCCTTGTCTTGTTCCTGATTTCAGGGGAAATGCTTTCAATTTTTCACCATTGAGGGTGATGCTTGCTGTGGGTTTGTCATATATAGCTTTTATTATGTTGAGGTATGTTCCTTCTATTCCTGCTTTCTGGAGAGTTTTAATCATAAATGGATGTTGAATTTTATCAAAGGCTTTTTCTGCATCTATTGAGATAATCATATGGTTTTTATCTTTCAATTTGTTAATGTGGTGTATTACATTGATTGATTTGCGGATATTAAAGAATCCTTGCATTCCTGGGATAAAGCCCACTTGGTCATGATGTATGATTTTTTTAATATGTTGTTGGATTCTGTTTGCTAGAATTTTGTTAAGGATTTTTGCATCTATGTTCATCAGTGATATTGGCCTGTAGTTTTCTTTTTTTGTGGCATCTTTGTCTGGTTTTGGAATTAGGGTGATGGTGGCCTCATAGAATGAGTTTGGAAGTTTACCTTCTTCTGCAATTTTCTGGAAGAGTTTGAGTAAGATAGGTGTTAGCTCTTCTCTAAATTTTTGGTAGAATTCAGCTGTGAAGCCATCTGGTCCTGGGCTTTTGTTTGCTGGAAGATTTCTGATTACAGTTTCGATTTCCTTGCTTGTGATGGGTTTGTTAAGATCTTCTATTTCTTCCTGGTTCAGTTTTGGAAAGTTATACTTCTCTAAGAACTTGTCCATTTCTTCCAAGTTGTCCATTTTATTGGCATAGAGCTGCACTCCAGCATTCTTGCCTAGAGAATCCTGTGGACAGAGGAGCCTGGTGAGCTGCTGTCCATATGGTTGCACAGCGTCGGACGCGACTGAACCGACTTAGCATGCATGCACTGGAGAAGGAAATGGCAACCCACTCCAGTGTTCTTGCCTGGAGAATCCCAGGGACAGAGAAGCCTGGTGGGCTGCCGTCTATGGGGTCGCACAGAGTTGGACACAACTGAAGCGACTTAGCAGCAGCAGCAGTGTATATACATCAGTCCCAATCCCAATTCCTCCCACCCCTCCCCCAAGCTGGGCCCTTGTGTTCCCTGCCTTTTAGTTAGGTTTGGCCAATCAAAAGCACTGGCATGAGACTAGGGTGGAAAGAGAGAGGTTGGGGTGTGTATTCCACCCACTGCCTCCTTGCCTGCTGCTGGTCTGGTGTGCTTTCCACTAGGGCCACCGTTGCATTGGATGGCCCCTTCTTTGTGGCTTGGGGCTTGACAAGCTCCCATAACGTCCCCCCTTGCCCATGCACTTTTGGATCTGCCCATGGCAAAGTGTCCCCACTCCTGCTGGCCCCTGAATCCTACCCCACCCCACGCTGGTTCCCTTGTGTGTGTGGTCAGTCCCTCAGTCATGTCCAACTCTCTGCGACCCCATGGACTGTAGCCCGCCAGGCACCTCTGTCCATGGAACTTCCCAGGTGAGAATACTGGAGTTGGTTGCCATTTCTTCATCCAGGGGATCTTCCCCACCCAGGGATCAAACCCGCGTCTCTTATGTCTCCTGCACTGGCAGGCGGGTTCTTTACCACCAGCGCTATGTGGGAAGCCCGTTGGCTCCCTTAACTCTGCTCACAAGCCTGATGCCATCTACATACCCTGTCTAGTAAACGGTAGTCATGACAGTGATGTGGTCCCTCTACAAAATGCAAAGCCCCACTTCCAGTCTCCACCCAGAGCCCCAGAGTAAGTCACGCCTACCTCACAGGTAGGTTGGGAGAAAGACTAAACGCCTCCAAGGGGAAGCCCAGACACCAAGGTGAAGTGGGCGCCTCTGGAGGAGGTTCTCAGCCTCCACACTATCGACACTTGGGGCCAGATCGTTCCTCACTGCTGGAGGAGAGAGGTGTCCTGTGTGGGGTTACGCACTCAGCATCATCTGTGGCCTCTACCCACTGATGCCAGTAGCGTGGTCTTCCCAGTCAAGAACATCAAAAACATCTCCAGGGACATTCCTTACCTGGCGGTCCAGTGGTTAAGACTTTGCCTTCCAATGCAAGGGGTGCGGGCTCGATCCCTGGTTGAGGAGCTAAGATCCCCCATGCCTCGGGGCCAAAAAAATCAAAGCATAAACCAGAAGCAATATTGTAACAAATAGAGACTTTTAAAATGGTCCCCGTTACAAAAAAAAAAACTTTAAAAAATATCTCCAGATATTGCTGAATGTCCCCCTGGGGGGCAAACGCACCCCTGATTGAGAACCACCAGCCTCCAGGAGGACTGGGCATGAGTTGAGGACTCACTGGGCTGGTTTGCTTCTTAGGAGAAGGGGAAGGATGAAGCGGGCAGCCCAGGACGCCCGGGGAGCTGACCCCAGCTCCTGAAAACACAAGGACGCGATCCTCAGTAAGGTTCCACGGTCACTCCAACACGTGGCCTTCCAGCCCCCCTGGCTTTGAGAAGCCCACTCCTCACCTCAGCTGGATGCTCGGCCCTGCTCAGGTGCCAGCACAGGTGTCCCCCCGGCCATGACTCGCTCCTCTTCTGCTCCCTCCCAGTCCCCCCAAGCCCCCAGCCCCCGTTACTTGCCTCCTTTTACCAGCCTTGAAATGATTTGGGGAGGCAGTTGGTAGCAGGGGAGTACAGCTGCTGCTAAGTTATCCAAACGATTTATCTTAAGATTCATGCAGAATTCATTGTGTGGGGACCGGGGTGGGTTGCGTTTTAATATTCATGCAGATTTGGAAGAAATGTTAATCACGGGTTTGGATAATTTGCACTTTTGCTTAATTCTCCTCCTCCCGGGCTCCGTTGGCCAGCCCCCAGGACCCCCCCGCCGCCCCTCCCCGCCTGCGCCCTGGGGTTCCTGCAGCCCACTGCTGCAGCTGGGGCTGGACCCCGAGGGCAGGACGGGTGGGGGCTGCTCTCTCCTCTGGCTGAGCGGTCCTGGCATCTCTGGGCAGGGGAGTGGGGAGGGTGGGCAGCTACCGAGAAGAGCTGCCAGAACTTCTGGGGCATCTTGATGGGAAATAGATAACCTGCTATGGCAACCAGATATGTGCAAATTAGCATTGATTATTCTCAAATTAACAGCTTGGGCATTTCAAACCCAAAACAAGGCTTCAGCGCGGCTCCGGTCCCGGCCCCGCTCCATCCCTCCCAGCTCTCTCCTCTCTCCCGCCTCCCCTGCCCTTCGGTGACAGCTGCCTGGCCTGGGACGTGAGAGGCAGGCGCCTGGGAGAAGGGACCTCAGGAGTCTCTGCCCCGCCTTCCTCAACGTGCACTCCTGTCCCTCCACCACTGTCCCTGACCTTATGGGGGAGAGATCCTTCTGGAAACCGTCCATGGTTCGCACTGCCCAGTAGGGGTAATCCTACCACCTGGTCCTGGTTTGAGTCCTGCAAGAATGTGGAATAAGCTTCAGGACTCGAGGCCAAGTCCCACGAGAGGGTCTCTCACTCCCTCCCAGGTAGAGGTAGCGACGGCTTTGGAAGGTCACGGGGTGATGTTGGAGAGTCACCCAGGACAGCCATGCATCCCAGAAAAGCACATAGAGGAGTCCCAAATCCCCCTGACAGAGAGTCCCAAGTTCCCCAGGGGCTGCTACCTGGAGCCCCTCTCTCCCTTCTACAGACAGCAAAGGCGAAGCCCAGAGTGGGACAGTGACTAGCCCATGCTCACACAGTCTACTGGTGGCCAGAGCGGAGTTTGAGTCCAAGTTTGCCAGAGGCACAGTTAGGTGGCGGCAGCATCAATTTCCTGGCAGGAGACAGACACCCCTCTGAGAAGCTAAAAGGGAGGGACTTACGTGGGGAAGGAAATGGCAGCCCACAGCAGTATTCTTGCCTGGGAAGTCCCACGGACAGAGGAACTTGGCAGACTACAGTCCACGGGGTCGCAGAGAGTCGGGCGCAGCTGAGCGACTTCACTTCAACTTCACTTCATGGTTACGCTGCTAAAGGAAGAACAGAGAAGCCAGAAAGCACATGGTGAGGCTGCTCAGCGGTTAGCAAGAACAGGAAACTGCTGATGCCCTGGGGAGGAGGGACAGGGCTTAAAGGTGTGTCTCCGTGGAGACTGCTGGGCTCATCTAAAAAGAGCAGGATGGGGAACACGTGTAAACCCATGGCTGATTCACGTCAATGTATGGCAAAAACCACTACAATATTGTAAAGTAATTAGCCTCCAACTAGTAAAAATAAATGGAAAAAAATAAAAAGACCTGATGTATAACCAACAAGGTCCTCCTATAGAGCACAGGGAACTCTGCTCAATGTTATATGGCAACCTGCATGGGAGGGGAGTTTGGGGCAGAAGGATACATGTGTATGTATGGCGGGTCCTTCCCTGTTCTGAAGCATCACAACATTGTTGATTGGCTACATCCCAATAGAAAATAAGAAGTTTTACAAAATAAATAAAAAGAGCCAAAGTAACAAGCAGACACAACAGTGAGGCGAGGAGGAGGAGAAATAGCCCGGTTTCTCCCTCCCTTCCTCCTGCCCTCCAATTTCTTGCCAGGACCTCATTGGCTATCTTATCTGTTCAGACTGGTGTGACAAATAATATCAGAGCCTGGGGGCTTACACAGCAAATATGTATTTCTCCTAAGTGTGGAGGCGGGAAGTCCAAGATCAAGGCTGCTTCGCTGTCTGGTGAAGGCCCACTTTCTGGTTAGACAGCTCTGTCCACACGTGGCAGAAGTGGCTATGGATCTCTCCAGGGTCTCCTTTAGAAGGGCTCTAATCCCATTCATGAAGGCTCCACCCTAATCAGCTCTCAAAAGGCTCACCTCTGAATACTGTCACCTTGGAGGGGGGATAGGTTTCAACTGTAAATTTGGGGGGGGGGGCACAAACATGCAGTCTCTAGCATCAGCGAAATCCAGTCTAGAGCCACCTGCTGTGACCAGCCCTCCCGTGGCGCTGAGCGGAGCAGGGGAATCATGAAACGCGGGTCTGAGAGCAAACAGGGGAATGACTGGCACAAAGGCTTTCCCCTGGACGTTGTCCCCGCTGCCTCCCTGATGCCTCACTGGGGCTTGGCAGGAGGGGCTGGGAGGAAGGCCCAGGAGGGCCATCGCAGGGTAGTCCAGGACATGACAGTGAGGGAGACAGCCGAGCTGGCTCACAGAAGGAGAAGAGCTCGCGGGCATAAGGGGAGAGGGCCCTGCCCCTCCCCAGCTGGCTCTCTCTCCACCTGGCCTTTTCCTCCCTCCCCTGCTGGGATCTGGTCGGCTTCCAGCCCCAGCAGCCGGTGTTACCTGTCACTGCCTGTCAGCTTCCCCCACCACCATGCAGCTGCCTCTGCCTGGGCCCTGAATAATAATGAGCAGGGAGCTGCAGACTCCAGAAAATAAAGGGGACCCGGGAGACACGGCAGTGATGCGGAAGCCACCGTCTTGCCCCATCTCTCCCTTGTCTGTTAAGACTGGGAGCTCCAAACCCCTGACACCCTACAACACATACACACACAGACCGTCCTGGAACTAAGGTGTCCTGAGTGCCAAGGTGGAGCAGAATGCCTGCTAAAGCAGACAGTAGTAAGATGCCCATCAAGGGAGCACCTTAAAGTAATCTTAGCCTCTTAGTGAAGCTGGCCTCAGAGTACCAGGGGCAGACCTGCTTTCGAGAGGGAACAGGGAACCAAGATGTGTGAGGGGATGCCTCTACCTGTTGCAGGTAAACCGTGATGCTCCCTAAGCGCCCTGGGATGCAAAAGTCACCTGGAACAGATGGTCCAAGCTGCTTCTTAGCACTGTGCCTGAAACAGTGAGCATTTAGGAAAGCATTTTCATTAACCTGCCCTGCTGCCCCAACTTGGCACTCTTTGTGGAAGAATCACCAAGTATCACAGGTGATGCTGGTGGCTTCAGACCTGAGTGGTCCCTCCTCCTGGTTACAGATGTAATCATGTGACATCACACATGGGACTTCATGAAACCACTTTCCCCCGGTTCAAGGGATTGGTTCAAAGACAGTCATGTGATTCAAGGCAGCCAATCAGAATCTTGCTTGGAACAAACCTATGGATGCTCTTGGAAAAAGGATACTTTGGCAGGTTCCTTGCATGTAACAGAGGTGAAGGATATATATAGAAGAGGGTTGAAGGCAAGGGGTATGTGGGAACTCTATATTTCCCACTCCATTTTGCTGTGAACCTAAACTGCTCTAAAAAAACCAAGTCAATTTTTGAAAAAGTTTAGGATCTTTAAGTACTGTATAGAGAGGTGTGGAAAAATTGGTATTTGTTAGTTATCTTAAGCATGTTACTGAATTTGATGACTTACGGATTCTTTAAAGTTGGTAATCAATGTTGGATAAAGTAAGAAGCAGTTCACACACACAAAAGTTTAGGGTTTTTAAACTTGAGGGGAAGAAGAAAACAGACATGTAAAAGGAAGAAATACAATCACAATTTAATATTTGAATTTTCTGGGTGTGAGGTAGAGGAACTGAGAATTCTGCTTTGCAAATTGAAAGCTATTCCTATGAAATCACACACGAATTTGGCGGGAGAATGTACATGAATTACATTGCTCAGCGTCATTTGTATATGGGGTATGAGATGATATGGAAGGTCGTTTATAACATCTTTTTAAAAGTCATCTTTATTGAATTTTAATAGAATGCACAAATCTCTTAAAAAAAATACTTTGGGGATTTCCCTGTTGGTCCAGTGACTAATACTCCACACTCCCAAGGCAGGAGCCCAGATTCGATTTCTGGTCAGGGAACTAGATCCCACATACTATAACTCAGACCCAGCACAGCCAAATAAATACATAAGTATTTTTTTAAAAAGCTACTTTGCACTGGGATTGGTAACACTCTAGTCAAGTCTATAGATTTTCCAGTAGTCATGTATGGACGTGAGATTTGGACTATAAAGAAAGCTGAACACTGAAGAATTGATGCTTTTGAACTGTGGTGTTAGAGAAGACTCTTGAGAGTCCCTTGGACTGCAAGGAGATCCAACCAGTCCATCCTGAAGGAGATAAGTCCTGGGTGTTCATTGGAAGGACTGATGCTGAAGCTGAAACTTCAATACTTTGGCCACCTCATGCGAAGAACTGACTCCCTGGAAAAGACCCCGATGCTGGGAAGGATTAAAGGCAGGAGGAGAAGGGGATGACAGAGGATGAGATGGTTGGATGGCATCACCAACTCAATGGACACGAGTTTGGGTAAACTCTGGGAGTTGGTGATGAACGGGGTGGCCTGGCGTGCTGCAGTTCATGGGGTTGCAAAGAGTCAGACACGACTGTGCGACTGAACTGAACTGGTAACGCTAGAGGTAAGAGCCTGCATGACCAGTGGCCGTCTTGCCCACGCTGTGGAGGAACCTGTTGTGACAATGAGTGTAAGGAGAAGCTTAAGGAGAGGATTGAGACTCGATAAAATTGCTTGAACCCCTAGAAACTGCTATATTTAGAGTCGGCACAGCCCTTGGACTTTCCAGATACATGGACCAGAAAAGCCCTAATGAAATGAGCCTTGCTGGGGAGTCAGTGTTAGAGCCCAGCTGGCCTGAGTCCTAAGCCAGCATCTTTCCCCTGTATCACCCTCCCCCGGCGCCTCCTCGGATGGGTGCTTTAAGCCTCTTCGTGCCCCAGTGCTAAGAGGAAACTGCAAAGCTCGGCAGTGGGTGTCGAGGGCCAGGGGACTCCTCCACCCATCCCAGCCCCCCCTTCTGCCCAGGGCTGTGAGTTCCGAGCCCACAGTATCTCCTGAGCGTCCCAAGACCAAGGCACTGCGGAAGCCCTGTCCTCAAGAGTACAGGCTAAAGGGGATTTGAGTTGAGCGGGGAGGAAGGGAGAGGAGGGGACTGAGGCCCAGAGTCACATTCCAAGAGGATTGGCTGAGGATGCAAGAAGCACCTCGTGTCAGAGCTGGCTCCGGGATCAGACAGAAACCCCTTCCTGTCCTTGGAGGGAAAACACACAAGCTGCCTTTAATGAAAGCTTTAGATGGAACGTGGCCAGGATTTTCAGAGTTCTTTCCCCAGAATAGGGCCCTCGATTTCATCCTCTCTGAGCTGGCAGCTGAGAAGGGGTATCTCTAGGCTTGCCGGGAAATAAGAAGTCTGGTCCTTGCGATTGCTCTAGAGAGACGGTGCAATTCAGCAGATGGGTGAGAGAGTCCAGCTTAGGTCCTGGGGTCAGGCTGCCCCAAATCGTGGTCCTGCCCCTTACTGGCCAGGTGAGCTTGAGTAAATTACTTTAGGTCTCTGAGCTCCAATTTCTACACCCCTAATACGGCAAAATAGCATTAACTGCTGTATCAGGGTCCAGTTGCTGCCGTGACGAATTATCACAGAGTTAGGGACTGAAAAACACACAAAACATTATCTTACAGTTCTGTAGGTTAGAAGCTGCACACGCGTCTCTGGGCTAAAATTAAGATGTCAGACTTCTGGTTGCCGGAGGGGCAGAGGAGAAGGTTGGGGGAAAGGGAGAGTTAGGGAGTTTGGGATGGACATGTACACATGGCTATATTGAAAATAGATAACCAAGGGCTTACTGTATAGCACGGGGAACTCCGCTCAATGTTGTGTGGCAGCCTGGATGGGAAGGGAGTTTGGGGGAGAATGGATACGTGTATATGTGTGGCTGAGTCCCTTTGCTGTTCCCATGAAATTATCACAACATTGTTAATGGGTTTACTCCGATACAAAATAAGAAGTTCTTTTAAAAGATGTGAGCAGGACTGCCTTCCTTCTGGAGGCTCTGGGGGAGGTTTCCTTGCTTTACCAGCTTCTAGAGGCCCCTCCCATTCCTTGGATAATGGTCTGTTTCCTCCATCTTCAAAGCCAGAAACATAGACTCTCTCTGACCAGTCACATCTCTCTCTCTGACCCCCACCTTCATTCCTAAGGGCCTCTGTGATCATAATGGGTTCACTGAAGTGATCCAGGATAAGCTCCCCATCTCGAGATCCTTAATGTAATCACATTGCAAAATCCCTTTAGCCACGGAAGGTGGCACCTTTACAGGCTCCAGGGGCTCTGATGTGGACATCTTGGGGGCGGGGGGTGTTATTCTGCCGACCATGCTTACCTCTTGGCGTCATTGAACACGCCTGACAAGATAATGCACATAAAGCATTTGGCACAGTGCCCAGCACATAATGTGTGCGTGCTCGGTCGTGTCCAACTCTTTGTGACCCCGTGAACTATAGCCCTCCAGGCTCCTCTGTTCATGGGATTCTCCAGGCAAGAACACTGGAGCGAGCTGCCCTTTCCTCCTCCAGCGGATCTTCCTGACCCAGGGATCGAACCCGTCTCCTGGGTTAGAAGGAGGGTTCTTTACCGGTGAGCCAGCTGGGAAGCCCCCAGTACATAGTAGCCACTCAGTAAAGGGCAGCGGTGTTCACCTTTCATGGCCTCACCTTGGGACGTCTTAGAGAGCAGCTGCGGCCGCCTGGTGACACACCAGGCCAGTCCCCCAGTGTTACCTGAATGGCGGCCGTCGCTGCCCGGGCCATAGACGGGCCCGCAGCCTGCTCTGCCCCTGCTCCGTGCCTGCCTCTGGTGCAGAACTCCAGATGCCGCTGTGCGTTGCGCTTATGTAGCCACGTGCACCCTCTTGCTGTGATACAGATGTTGGCCAGATGTTCACACACTGATGTACACATGTGCACACTCATGATCGTCCTTGCAGGCTTAGCAAAGTGCACACACACACACACACACACACACACACGTCCACACCTCTCCAGATTCCTGCCTATCCCAGGCGCCGCCAGCTCTTGCTGCCCCTGAGCAGACCCCAGCTGCCTCCGCACCCCAGGACAGCGGCTGGAAGGTGGGGCCAGGGCCCCCGCCGGCTGCGCTCGGCACCCCCGTCCCATCCTGCCCAGGGAGCCCCCGCCTCCCCCTGCCCGCTCCCAGAGCATCGGCTCCATTGATTGGCCTTTGCAGCTCAGCAGCCGGAGATGCGCCCCAGCTGGAGGAAAACACTTGTAATTTATGGAGTGTCTGATTTTTAATCAGTTTTTTGTTCTGTGCTGTAATTGTCCTAATTAGATCTACATATTTTGATGAAGGTTTTTCCAAAATAAAAATTGTAATCGAATCTTGCTTGACATTCTTTACACCCACTCGCTCTGATCCAAATTTCCACTGCAGCAGCGGAGTCTGGAAATTATGCACACGGTTGAGGCATACGAATGGTGCAGGGCCCTTACTGGGCCTCCGGACACTGGAAGGCAGGCTGCCCTTGGGCGGAGCGCTTCCTGCAGCCCTGGGCCTCCAAGCACCCTGTAGCGTGAGGCAGCCTTCCTGGATGCTCAGAGAGACCTCCAAGGCCTCCCTGGGCAGGGCTTCTGACCCGCGTGCCCTCCTTCTGCCCAGGCTTCTGCTCTCTGGGGCCTCTACCCCCAGAAAGAAGTGGGGTCATCTCACAAGCCTCAGGCCAAAGGCTGCCTTCTGCCACCACCACCCGCTCCCCCCGATTCTTACCAATAATCACAATTCCTGGCAGTCATTCAAGACCTACTGTGTGCCAGACACTGTGTTCTACACGCGTGCGTGCTAAGCCACTTCAGTCGTGTCTGGCTCTGTGCAACCCTATGAACTTTAACCCACTAGGGTCCTCTGTCCGTGGGATTCTCCAGACAAGAATACTAGAGTGGGTTGCTGTGCCCTCCTCCAGGGGATCATCCCAACCCAGGGATCAAACCTGGGTCTGCTGCACCGGCAGGTGGGTTCTTAGCCCTGTGTTCTATACACATTGCTCCTTGTCCACCTGACAGCCCTCTGAAGGAACTGTTCAGAGGAAGAAAGCGAGGCTTGAAGAAGCTCATTCGCTCCCTCAAGGTCACAAAGCAAGAGGCCGAAGCACCACCATCCTGCATTCCCAACCTCAGCTGAGGCCATGGCGGCCTCTTGGAGAGGGTCCCCAAGGAGCTTCAGCTCTCCAGCAGCCCCTGAGAGGGGAGACCCCACAGCTGACCTCACTGCTCCACCCCAGCGTCAAGCTGTCCCTGCCCTTGAGAGGCTCCCCATGCGAATTTCCTCTGTGAGCCTGCAGCGTAGACCACACGCAGGTTTGCACGAAGCCTGTCTCCAGGAGCCCCTCTTCATGGGAAGGACTGATGCTGAAGCTGAAGCTCCAATACTCTGGCCACCTGATGGGGAAAGCCACCGCATTGGAAAAGGCCCAGATGCTGGGAAAGACTGAAGGCGGGAGGAGAAGGGGAACTAGACGGCCTGGGGAGGCAGGAGGGGGAGCCAGCCCGTGTTCCTCCCTTTGCTTCCTGTTTCTCTCAAGGTCACCCTGGCGCTGGAGCTGATTATCAGGAGTTGGTTCCCGACTGCAGTTTTCTTTCTCTGCACTACCAGAACCAGCCGCTGCTCTTGTGCCCTCTCAAGAGACTCCTGTACCCACTAACCAGCGCCTGCCCCCTCCCCACAGAGCACTAATCCCAGCTCCTAAATTCAAATAATCCCACCCGCCTGCCATGTTCCTGTGCTCCAAGGATGGTGGCTGATCCCTGCAGTTGCTGCTTCCACGAGAGCCTGTGCAGTTCTCCAATTTGGCTCATTTAACCAAATCGTTCTATTAAATTCTCTGTTAAAAGGTCATATGCCATAAATGTTTAACTATAGTTCATTCATTTTTCTCTGCTTATATTATTCCATTATATGAAGGCACCACTTTTTTTTTAACATTTTAAGAAATTATTTGTTGCCATTTTAAAAATGACTGCAAATCAAGATAAAATTGGGCTTTCCCAATGGGTCAGTAGGTAAAAAAATTCCACTAGCAATGCAGCAGACACAGGTTCAATCCCTGGGTTGGGAGGATCCCATGGAGAAGGGCATGGCAACCCACTCCAGTATTCTTACCTGGAAAATTCCATGGACAGAGGAGCCTGGTGGGCTACATCCATGGGATCGCAAAGAGTCAGACACAACTGAGTATGCACACACAAAATAAATAAATCAATAAAACGTCTGGTGCAGTTTCCGATTTTTGCACGTCACCTGGCGTGGCTTCCAGCTTTAAAGTGGGGAACATGTGCTGAGAAGTGGAGCAGCCACATCCACACTGGGGTGGGGACTGTAACCTGCTGACCTGGAGAGTGGAAAGAGAACACCACAGAAAACCCACAGAGCACCTCTCTGGGCTCACCCAGGGCCCCCTGCCTGTCTGCCTGGGTGAAAGGGTGAAGGCGCCAATGGATGGATGGGCAGACAGACTAGTGGATGAAGAAGAATGATGAGGTATGGGGCACTCCATTTCTTACGCAGCTGAGCACAATGCAGCCAGGCTAAAATCACGCAATCTGGCCTCATAATGGTCGAGATGAGAAGCCCAAACTCATGACTGTCCTCTCCACTGCATAGACAGATCCTTCACCAGAAGCCAAGCAAAAGATGAAAGGCAGGAGGGACGAGAGTTCCGAGTCCTCCATCTGGTTCCCGGAGACCTGGTTCCCACGGCCATCTCAGACTCTTCCACAGCTCCTGGACCAATACATTCCCTATTTGCCTAAGCTGATTAAGTGAGGTTTCTAGCTTTGGCAAACAAATGAGTCCTGACTAATATGCTGGCTTCACAGCATCGTGCCCACCCACCCTACCAACACTTCTCTATTTTCCTACAGAAAAATGGCTCTTCAACAGGACGAGCTGTGGAGCTCTTCATAAAGATACAGATTCCTGGGTCTAGTCCCACACTTACTGACCCGGGATCTCTGGGGGCGGGCCCAGGCTTCCGTGTAAGGCTCCTGGCACTCCCCATGTGCACACTGTGCCCGACTTGCAACGTGGCATCGCCATGTCCTCCTGGCACATGACTGGGGCCAAATGTCTCTGGGGAATTTCCCTCTGGCTGGGGACCAGACTGTAAGAAGGACATCGCAGGGCACGAACAGCAGAAAACCAAGTCAGCGAGAGCTCTCAGGCTGCCCTTCCTCTGATGTGTTTTTCAGAAATCAGGGTGTTTCACCAGAGAAAGAGCAAGTCCGCGAGGGACAGGCTAACTGTCTTGACGGTGTGAAAGCTGCCATGTGGAAGAGGAACAGATTGACTTTGCAGCGCTCCAGAGGGGAGGCCTTCAACCAAGGGCATCCAGGGGGCAGATTTTAGCTAAACAAAGGGAAGAACTTTCCAACAATTACAGCTGCCCCCGTAGTGGAAGGGCTGCCCCAGAAGGCAGTGAGGGAGCGTCCCATGTCGGCAGCGTGCACGCCTCAGTAGATCACCATATGTCCGTTGCCATGGCCAAGACTGCTGCACTGGACAGAAGGTTAGATGTGCTGCCCTTTTTCTGCCAAGTTTCTCCTCTTCCACAACGTGGTCTGGGGACAAAAGAGGCCACGCAGGCTGGAGGCGCTGAGTGGCCAGAAGGGAAGAGACGACCGCAGGGCTGCTGGGAGGACTTGTGTGAAGAACAAAATTCCTGCTAGAGACCAAGATGGGCTACCTAGGAACTGATTAAGGGCTGTCACTAAAGTCAGGGAGTTTTCCACTGCCTCGGTTTCATTTTACCATAGCGTCACGACCGTGAATTACTTTTATAAAAAAGAAAAAAATCCCAGGTATTTCCTTTTTGAAAAAATAATAAAGGTGGTAAACCAGCCATGCCTATGAATAATGTTCATGGAAGAAGATATAAACATGAGAGGAGGTGGTGGAAAGGGCAATTGCATCAGGAAAAGCAGAGTCAGGTAGTCCAAATGCCACCCTCTTCTGTCTCTCAGTCCTGCCCTCCATGATGCTAAATGTCAGAATGACCTAGATAACCTAAGGATGTCTTCACCCAAGGCTCCTCAACCTTTTTCATATCCAGGCTTCTCGAAATCCGCTACTGTGTTTCTGTAGCAGGGAGAAAGACAAAGCCTATGTACCATATCAGCAACCAGAGTAGGGGAGGGGCAAAGGAAAGAGATGTTTGAAAGAGGACATCTGACTTCAGTTTTGCAGGAGGAGAGCCTGGGAGACCAGGAGTGTGTACCACAGTCCGCCCCCCTGCGCCCTTGTTCGAGAGAATAGGACCTCGCAGATGGCAAGTGACAGAAACTGAACTTGACTGGTTTCAGCAAAAGCAGAGTTGTTTGGCTCTGGTAGCTCAGAGGAATCCAAGATAGCTCGCAGAATGAAAGGAAAGACTGCAGGAACCGGGAGGTCAGGACCAATATGACCGTCTACCTATATCTCCATCTTTGCCTGCATCTCTCTATTCCACCAACCTCCACTGGATTTGCATCTTTGCTATCTCAGCGGCAGGTGAGCTCTCTCCAACAAGGTGGTGAAGACAGCCACCATACATGGCACATTTATGACTTCTCACGACAGCGTCCTGAGCAAGAAACCTTGCCTTTGCTCTGGATCCCCGGACCAGTTCCAAAGAAGGATTTTGATTGGTTGTGGCTTGGACCAATCACGTTTGCCCAGGGGTGGCAGTCTCGGATTGGTCAGAAATGGGTCATGTGACTGTCCACAGGGGTTCAAGAGCAGTGAGGTTCTTTAATAGAGAGATTGTAGCAGGTCTGAGTTTACCTCTGGGAGGGTAGGGGAAGGTATGAAGAATTGGGGGTTGGGAGGGAGATAGAGGAGAAAGTGAAAGTCGCTCAGTCATGTCCGACTCTTTGCGACCCCAAGGACTATACAGTCCATGGGATTCTCGGCCAGAACACTGGAGTGGGTAGCCTTTCCCTTCTCCAGGGGATCTTCCCTACCCAGGGATCCAACCCAGGTCTCCCGCATTGCAGACGGATTCTTTACCAGCTGAGCCACAAAGGAAGCCCAGGAATACTGGAGTGGGTAGCCTACCCCTTCTCCAGGGCATCTTTCCAATCCAGAAATCAAACCAGGGTCTCCTGCGTTACAGGCAGATTCTTTA